TGGAGGTGGTGTAGCAATCTACCTACACGCATCAATTCCTTATAAAATTGTTAAGACAATTCCCTCCTGCTATTCCGCTTCTTCCGAGTTTTTATTTGTGGAACTCGATGTCAAGGGCATCAGGATGCTTCTAGGGGTAGTGTATTGCCCCCCATCTACCGACTACTTCGCCACTTTAGATATGGATCTTGTTGATATTTGTTCTGAGTACACTCACTGTATAATCATGGGTGATTTCAATACTGATCTGTTGAAAAGCTGCCCTCATTCCAAAAGGTTTCTTTCAATTATTGAGTCGGTTAATCTTTCTATTCTCCCTTTAAAGGCTACTCATCATAATATCGGAACCGATGACTCATTGATTGATCTAATCCTTGCTGCTTCTCCTGAACATGTGTTACCCGCTTTGGGTTTCTCACGCCACGACTTAATTTATGTATCGTATAGCTTAAACCTCCTAAATATTCCCCTACTGTAATGCAACTTCGCAGTTTTTCTAAAATAAATTTTGACATGCTTAGGAATGACGCTCTTAATCTTGATCTAGCCTCCTTAATAGCAGCATCTACTGTTGACGATAAAGTCACTATCCTTAACCACAGTATTTTTAGCCTTTATGATGCTCATGCTCCTGTTCGTTAAGGTTAGATTGAAGCGTCCCCCTGCCCCTTGGATGACAGAGGGCGTAAAGATGGCAATGGCTAAACGAAATCGTGCTTTTCTTCGTTTCAAGAAAGATCGAACTGAAGAAAATTGGACATCTTTTAAAGCAGTCAGGAATAGGTGTAATCAGATGGTACGTGCAGCTAAACGCCGATATTTCCATAACTGTATTAATAATTCTTCTCCAGTTTTAGTGTGGAAATTCCTAAAATCTTTCGGTCTTTGTAGACCGGCTACGTTGGATTGTGGTCCTTCTGTGTCACTTGATGAAATCAACCATCATTTCGCTTCTGTAAAAGCACTGGACCCTACAATTCGTTCCCAAACTATGGCTTCCATTGCTTCTATGCAAATTCCTAACATTCCTACCTTTAATTTTTCTCCTGTTTCACAGGATGATGTCAAAAAGTCGATTTTAGCAATCCAGTCCAAAGCCTTGGGTTACGACGAGATTAGTAGACTTATGGTTGTATTTATACTAGAGCACCTTCTCCCGGCAATTTCCCATATAATCAATTTCTCCCTTGGTTCAGGTCAGTATCCTAATCTTTGGAAGAGGGCTTTTGTAAAGCCTCTCCCAAAAGTTCCTACTCCCATTCATCCCAATCATTTTCGTCCAATATCCATTCTACCCTTTCTTTCTAAAATTTTAGAATCCTGTGTTTACAAGCAAATTTCTACTTTTATTTCGAAACATAACCTACTGAGTATATATCAGTCTGGGTTTCGTCCTGGTCATAGTACCACTACTGCATTAATTAATGTTATTGATAATATTAAACAAGGCATGGAAGAAAAAAAATAACAGTACTGGTACTAGTTGATTTCTCAAATGCTTTCAACACAGTTGATCATGTAATCCTTCTTTCCATACTGTCTCATCTGAATTTTGGCCCTACTGAATTGGATTGGTTTGCATCTTATATTCGCGTTCGACAGCAGTCAGTCAGTGTGGGGCAACTGTCCTCAGCTTGGGCTGATGTGGATGCTGGTGTGTCGCAAGGTGGTATTCTTTCTTCTATAATGTTTTCAATTTTTATAAACTTTATTACCTCCATCATCGACTGCTCGTACCATTTATATGCCAATGACCTTCAGCTATATGTGCAAACTGAGATTGGGGATATCCATAATGGGATCAAAAACCTTAACGGCAACTTAGCAGCTATCAAGGATTGGTCTACTCGTTATGGAGTTTTGGTCAATCCTTTGAAATGCCAAGCTATACTGTTGGGTAGCTCAAGGATGCTGGCTAAGATTAATCTGACAGACTTACCTCCTATTTACTATGATAATACTACAATTCCTTTCAGTAATTCTGTTGGAATTCTTGGCCTTCACATCGACATCACGCTGAATTGGAGAACTCAGGTTTCAGATGTGAGTCGTAAAGTCACTGCCACGTTATGCTCTCTGTATCGTTTAAAACATTTTCTTCCCACAAAATCTAAGATCATGCTTGTCCAATCACTTATATTACCCATAATTGATTATGCAGATGTGTGTTACCCAGACCTGTCCCAAGATCTTCTGAACAAGCTGGAACGCCTCCTCAATAACTGTATAAGATTTATCTTTGGGCTTCGTAAGTATGATCATATTTCTCAATACAGATCTAAGCTAAATTGGCTTACAATCCGGCAGAGGCGCAACTCCAGAATATTACTTGTACTTTTTTCCATATTAAATGATCCATCTTCGCCTTCTTATCTTAAGAGTAAATTTCATTTTCTTACGCTCTTCTTCTAACAACAAAATCTGTACTCCAGTTCACTTCACCGAGTTCTATGGTAACTCCTTCACAGTTCAGGCTACACGCCTTTGAAACTCCTTGCCCGATGACATCAGAAAAGCTCCCAATAAGTACGCTTTTAAAAAGTTGGTCCGTGAGCATTTCTTAAAGACAATGCATTTTACATGACTCATCTATTTAATATGTATTGCCAAACAGACGTATATATTCATAGTCATTTTTATATACTAATTATGTATGTATTTAAATATATATATATATATATATATATATATATATACTTGTATGTATATCCATTTATTTATATATTTGTATATATGTAAGGATAGATCATATATGTATAGTTCATTTATTAGTAGTTTGTATATATTATGTAGTTAATTATCATTTGTATAGTGTTCTCTTATTGCCACACCTACATCAAATTCTCACCACTCCATGGGTTGACTGGTAGAGAATGCCTCAAGGCATTAAGTCCGGCCTTTGTATTCTTTTGTTAAGGATGCAATAAAGAATAAAATAAATAAATATATTTTTGTCCATCTTATCTGGATGCATTTTATTCAAATGATCTTGAAATATTGAAGGTTTCATTGCTTCGTTTGAAAATGTTTTTAAACACAGAAGGCAAAGATGGATTTATCGAATTTTCTATGAATCTTTTTTTCGCTTCTTTTTTTTTGCTTCCGACGTGGCTTTGTTTTTACAAATATGTAAATAAAGCGTTGACCTTAAATGCATGTTTTAAAGATTGCGCGCGAAACTACTAATGAAAATATAAAAATTACTACGAGTTTTTATATAGGATTTAAATACAGCATGCACCGACAGGAATAAGACAAACAAGCTCGTTTATCTCTTTCGACGCTCAATCGCACTGAGCAAGTTAAGACAAGCATCGATGAACCAGCCGATTGCTGTCGGATTGCATCAATAGCGCTATTTAACCAAAACTCGTTACAACTTGATTGCATATCAGAGACAACTACGACAAATTGTAAATTAGACAAAACACAGTGACCACTTCATAGTAACCCGCGACAATCTAATTGACTCAGCATCGTTGACACTTGAGCTCGTGAACGTAGCGTGAAGCAAATGGAATGGGAAATTCCGCGCTAGATAGGAAGTACATGAAGTACTTGTTGCCAAATATTACTAAAAAGTTACAGTGTACTTGCTGCCAAATATTACTAAAAAGTTACAGTCTATTAACATCCAACAACTGGACACAGACCTCTCATTTCTGAGAGAGCATGAATATCTCCGCCGTCCTGCCCTGCGTGTTGGTGAACTTCACATGTCATGGAAATATTTTTTTTGTTCTTATTTCTCAGACATTCAGGTTTCCTCACGATGTTTTCCTTCACTGCCGAGCACGTGGTAAATGTCATGTGAAATCATTGTTAAGTATTTCTAGTTTATATATAATAATACAGGACAAAAATATAAATAATTTATTCGATATTGAGTAGTAGGTAGGTTTTAATGTTAGTAAATTTTAAAATATAAAGTATCTAAATGAAATTACAAATCAACATTGCCCCCATAAACCACGCCAACGCCCCTCGTTTTTTGTGGCCCCTTAACCCTCGCCCGCTTTGAGAAAGACTGTACACCTAACACGGCTTCTTATCTTGGCAAACAAATCGATACATACACATCAAAATTCAAGGTATATTTATGTAACTTATCTGTTGGTGTGACTTTCGCCATGTCGTGGTAACAGTTATAAAAAGCTACAATTTTATCATCAGTAAACTGATCAATTTCGGGTGATTTTAAGAAGTTTTGGTAGTTCCGGTGAATTGCTGCTCCCGTTTTATCACATTAATAATGACTTTATGTGAATTTGATGCGAAAAGTGGTGCGTTTTTGTATGTTAAATCTTCGTATGTTAACCATCAATGGAAATGATGTAAGTGCTTTGATGGTGATATACATTTTTTTTATCCTTTCCTTGATATATTATCGTCGTTAACTGTCCGCTTGGTTAAGCTGCCGCAAAAATTTTCCAAGAACTTCGCAATGTGACGCATGAGTATGTTGAAAAGAGTTTTGTAAATAAATCACGTATATTTATATACAAATCAGACTAGGCTGTATGGTATAAGACTTCTGTCTTCGTTGGAAAATTGTAACAAACATCTTGTCAATAATTTAGTTTTAAATTATGTATGATGAACTTTTTTTCAGACTTCGATAGACCATAATCGTGATTTGTTAAAACATAGTTAATTATTTTATTGATATCTACTTATTGTGAAAGTGGTTTTTTTTCCATTGTTCTTTTAGTGTATTGGATTAAAAGAATATTTTACTTCGAGTAAAATTGCTTAGTAATAGCGCTATCTATTTTATTCTATAGGTTTTATCGAACAATATTTGATTGACTTTCAAGGTGGTACATGAAGTAGACGCTAGATGGCCTAAACACAATTTATTTAATATAAATCCTATAGATGTATATTTTTGTTTCTTAAGTGTCTCTTTTTCGTTTAATCAAGTTTCAAACCACAACGATTCTAAAGAAGTTTTCACTTCAATAATTCACATAAAGCTAATTCAGATATGTACTGTCCAGCACCATTGCTGGGGCTGCGGGCGGTGCGTGTGCACGCGCTGTGTGTGCCGTCGCGCGCCGCTGCCCGCGCTCGCCGCGCCGCGCCACGCCCCGCTCTGCGCCGCCTGCGCGCCCTCTTCGCCCGGTGCGTACGTACATGCACACACACATACATACATACACACGCATGCCGTGCCACGCGCCGCTTTGCGCCGCCTGCGGGCACGCCTCGCCCGGTGTGTACGTACGAGGTCTGTTCAAAAAGTATCGCGAATTTTGAATTTCCGCGGGCTACGTATATTTGATTTGTTTTTTGTAGCTTTATGTTGGTACTCATGTCCCTTACTTATGCTGACAAGGTCAGCCATTTTGAATATGTTAATTTGGTGTGTTTTGCTTTTTCTATTCCAAAAAATGGATCAAAGAATGTATATTAAATTTTGTGTGAAAAACAAAATAAAGTGCGCGGACGCATTCCGAATGTTGATTGTGGCATACGGTGAAGCTACCTTGGACCAAAGCAACGTTCATCGGTGGTACAAAATGTTCTCAGAGGGCCGAGAAGATGTAAACGACGAACAGCGTACCGGACGCCCGAGCACGTCGACAACAGACGATAACATTGATAAAGTGAAGAAAATATTATTGGCTAACCGTCAAATCATCGTTAGAAAAGTTGCTGAGGACTTAAACATATCGATTAACTCGTGCCATTCGATTGTAAGTAATAATTTGGGCATGAGTCGGGTCGCCGCGAAATTCGTGCCAAAATTACTCAATTTCGACCAAAAACGGCAACGCGTTAACGTTGCTGCGGAGATGTTGGACTCGGTACGTGACGACCCAAATGTGCTCCAGAGGGTAATAACTGGTGACGAATCATGGGTTTATGGATACGACGTGGAAACCAAAGCTCAATCATCAAAATGGAAACTGCCGCATGAGCCAAGACCTAAAAAAGCGCGTCGAGGTCGGTCGAACGTGAAGGTTTTTCTCACAGAGTTCTCTGATGCAGGGATGTGGTATATCATGAGTTCTGGCCACAGAGTAGTACGGTTAATAAGGAATATTACCTGCAAGTTATGCGCAATTTGCTCGAAGCAATCCGCCAGGAACGCCCGGAATTGTAGAAAAAACAAAAACTGGCTATTGCATCATGATAACGCCCCTGCTCACACATCGTTGCTTGTGCGCAAATATTTATCCAAAAACAACACAGTAACGGTCCCACAGTCACCGTATTCCCCAGACCTGACTCCCTGTGAATTTTTTCCTGTTCCCAAAACTGAAAAGGTCCATGAAAAGACGACGCTAAGGAGATTAAGACGGCATCAAAGGAGGAGCTGACGAAGATCACGAAAAATGATTTTTTTAACTGCTTCGAGTATTGGAAAAAACGATGGCATAAGTGCATTATATCCGAGAGGGAGTACTTTGAAGGAGACAAAATAGATATTCATGAATAAATAAATAATTTTTGAAAAAATACAAAATTCGCGATACTTTTTGAACAGACTGTACGTGCACGTGTACGTTTCATACGTGGTAGAGCCATGCTGCAGCTATATTATTACTGGTATAGTTGTAGCACGAATGGGTCGGCTCGACCGGGAAAGGACCACGCTCTCAGAGAATACCAGCGTAAAATAGCAGCTTAACGCTGCTGTGTTTCTTATAGTGAGTGTAGAAACCGGAGACCCTTTTTTCTGGAAACGAGGTATTCCATCTTAGTCTTCACGGGTGACAACGCATCTGCATTTTGATTCGTAATCAAATGTAGATGTCTATGGGCCGCATTAACCACTTACCATCAAGTAGACTATGTGCTCGTTTGTCACCCTAATCTTTAAAAAAACACGCACATGCACACATACATACACACGCATCCACATCCGCACATTATTGTTATATTGTAAGCGTACCATTTTAGTTTCCCTCGTTTAACGACAGTTAAGAAAATCCTGTCCCCTTAACCTATGATATAATTATAATTATTATTTAAATTGTACGAGTGTTATCGGGTTTATGACCGCGCTTAACTGTTCTGTATTAATGTTAAAATCATGGTTTAAAATAGATTTTGATCCGTAAAAGTAGTATGATTTTGTATATCAAATGTCTACCCATGTGAACTATTTACACTTATAACATATAATTTTGATAACTTAAAAATATATCGTCATCGATTGACTGCTGGCTTAAAAACATCGCAATGTGACGCATCCATGTTTAGAAGGTTAACTTATTTATATTTTCAAGGATGTATTTTATTAGCTTTTGATATATTTTCGTAGATTAGTGTTAAATTCTTTTTGGCTGAAGGCCTTGTAGTCATGCCATAAAATGGGAAAAAATCATTATATTCTTTTCTTTTCAGATGTATTGTCACCGGCCAGTTAAATTTTAGGAGTAGTTAATTATAGTAAAAATGAATTATCATGCAGGTATAAATGCTATAAATACTTTAATGTAATAAACAATTGTAAATACGCTATAATTAGCTCAGTGCATTTATTTTAGTAATTAATAAATGTGAAGACCACCAAAATATTTTAAAATTATTTAGACGTATGTGTATATTTATGTAATATTGAATAATACTAATAATATTTGTTCCATTTAGTATTCCTAATTTTAGTTAAATATAAGATAATGTTTTTGCCATATCACAGATTAAAAAAAGAATAAATAATTTATAATTAAACGTTCTAAATTATGCTTTTAAACCGATAATTCATATCCAAAATTACCAATACATGTATCATGACATTTTTCAGTAATACAAAGTTCGTGTTTCATTAACCATATGAATTGTACAGTTCAAATACCCTTATTTAAAAAAATTGTAAATACTTTTTATAATTATGATTGTATGAATGTATAAAATAAAAATAATTTAGGGTAATACACGTATGAGTTTTCTTTAAAAGAAATCAATGATATAAAACCTTTTTAATGATTTTCCTTGTGAAGTCACCTGTTGGATATGGTTCTTTTCATGAATGTGTCGGTTGCTACGTACAGTATTATTACTTGGAAGCTTTGCCCATACGACAGCAGTGCGTGCAATGCTAAGTTTTGGTCTGAACGATACAGAGAGCCGGTATAATTATATAGCCGGTTTATAAGTGGTGGAGCCACGCGGCAGTTATATTAGCAGTATAGTTGTAGCATGAATGAGTCGCGTAGACCGGGGAAGGACCACGCACTCACAGAATACCGACGTAAAATAGTAGCTTAATGCTGCTGTGTTTCGTATGGTGAGTGAAGGGAACCGGAGACCCTTTTTACTGGAAACGAGGCATTTCATCTTAGTCCTCACGGGTGACAACGCATCTGCATTTCGATTCGTAATCGAGGATAGATGTAGGTGTCTATGGGCCACAGCAACCACTTACAATCAGGTGGAAAAATAATTATAGTGAGGCATTCCATCTCAGTTCTAAGAGGTGACAACACATTTAGCCTTCTTTGTTTGAACTTGGGTGCAGTTATTGCGTTGGACTGCATTGGATACTTACCATAAAATGGACTGTAAGTTTTTCGTCATTTCAATTTTATGAATATGAAGCCCCTAGGTAGTTGCTGAGTAGAACTGAAATGCTGCTCTATCATCAGTTTGCTGGGTTTGGGTTCGGTTTAATTTTCGACAAACAATCGCTGTTCAGAGCCTTGACCATAAGTGAGCAGAGTACATTCCTTGCAACATAAGCTGAAGAAGGAGTTTTCCAGTCAAGTAAGGTACACGGGGAGCGGCCAACACTCCGTGGGGTAGTACAGAGCTATTCTTTATATACCGTAATTTAGAACTTTAATAGCGTGATTTAGGAATCGGTGCGTTTCGCTTGTGGCGCATCGATAGCGCCGCCACACTTGCCGTGTAATAGTGGCGTAAAATAACCCACTACCCCATTATCCCGTGTCGTAAAAGGCGACAAAGGGAAATTGAAATAGGAAAAGAGCAGCAGCATCTCTCAGCTAACATCTGAAAATAATTTAAATCTGCGGCGGCTAACGCCTGCTAAGCGTGACAACTATGGCACTATATCCTACGGGATATGGTGCCATAGTTGTATTGTTTATGTATTATAGTATTCTATGGAATACAATAACACATACATAATAGAACGTGGGAGTGGGCGGAGCCCGTGTAGCCACTAAAATGCCACTAACACGTCAATTCACACGTATAAATGTCAACACGAGATGTGTTTGGACGTTACAATCTTTTCCAAATTTCGCATGCAAATTATTTAGAAAATGCCAAATTGCGCGCTATTTACAAATAAATATGTATTAAAATCCGTCTGTCAACACAGCGAATCGGGTTTGTAGTAGTGATTAACTGATAATACGACGTAATTGCTTGCATGTGTGCTCCCGCAGGCGCCTATCCTTGTACAAAATAAGGTTGACAGCCATTCTATTGTGTATTATAGTATTCTATGCTATATCCCAACTATGAGGCTATCAGGGAGACCTATGTTCTGCTGAGAACTTTATAGCCTTCAATGAATGGATGAATAAACACCAACATTTTATACGTGGTAGAGCCATGCTGTAGCTATATTAGTCGTATAGTTGAAGTACGAATGGGTCGGCTCAACCGGAGAAGGACCATGTTCTCAAAGAATACCAGCGTAAAAAAGCTGCTTAACGCTGTTGTTTCATATGGTGAGTAAAGATTCGAAGACGTTTTTTATTGAAAACGAGCCATTTCATCTCAGTCCTCAAGAGTGACAAGGCATCTGCATTTCGATTCTTAATATAAAATAGATGTAGATGTCTTTGGGCGACAGCATTCACTTATCATCAAGTGAACTGTGTGCTTGTTTGTCACCCTTAATCTACATCGGTTAAATTTCTAAGTTTCTTCTTTATCTAAAAAAGAAAACTAAATAGTTGATGAGTTTACAAGATATATTCTTTGCGTTGTGACTGTGATGTTCATATTCATTGTAGGAAGACCGAAAGAAAGATGGGTCGATGAGATTGAGACAGCAGGAACAAATCGGTTAACAATAAGCACAGAACCGAAAAGAGTGGAAAAAGATGGAGGAGGCCTTTACCCAAAGAGGGGTCCTTAATTGAAATGTATATTTTATTTTATTTTCTAAGCGTACATATAATTGTTGTAAATATTTTCTATTAAGGAATAAAGAGGCTTTAATATTATTATTATTATGTTGCATAATATGATTTGTATGTCATCAGTGGTCTTTGCTGCGGTCAGTTAATCAACAGCACCTCTTTTTATCGTCACTTTGCAGTACTACATTTTCTTCCATTCCATCCATTCATTACAGCCTATAAAAGTCTACTGCTGAACATAGGTCTCCCCCATAGAATGCCTCATAGGGGGGATTTTGCCATAGTTGACACGCCTGGTGAGCCGGTTGTTAGCCGTAGTTTTTTTAACTATTTCGAGTTCTTATCAGGAACATGTTGTTGCCTCAATTCCCTCTGTCGTAAACTACATTTCCTTGGCGTTGCTTAATTTAATATTTCCAATCATGGATCGCGGACATGGAATTTGATATATTGTTGACATTGAAACATTCCATAATATGACTCTTGAAGGGTGGCGTTAATATGCACACGTTATCTTAATTAACTGCACCACTGCAATCTCAGCTTAGACAAAGTCAAAGCGGGTTTCAAAGAGATAAAAATAATATCCACATAATAGCTTCTTAATTCCATGCTAGGACATGGTGTATAGAAAAATTTAAGCCGCGATAAATACAAAAACAGTTGTTTTGAGAATCTACCCATTTTTCGAAGTCGGCTATAACTACAGCAAATAGCTTAAAGAATAAGCACTCGCCATAAGTACGCATGAATTGGAGTTGAACTCGATGCCACAACAGAAATTTGTAATATTATGCGCTCATTTACCACGAGCTCGGTGGTAAAGTAAAATATGGAATTTCTGATAATGAAGCCTCGGCGGGCTCTTCCCCGCACCATAAAACTCAGCAGTATTAAGTTTGTAATAAGTATTAAGCAGTGGAGATAGCGTGTAACTTTGTATATATTTATTATATTTTCAAGCACTGGAACGTTAATCTACTTGTGGAAGATATTTGTATGATTTGAAGTGAAATGCAGTATAATTACTGAGTACTTTAATTTGCAATTTCAGCATTCTATTCTTATATATTATACTATGTAAGTACGCAAAAACATACAGATATGTATTAGAAGCTTAAAGCTTCTTTTATAGTTTGGTATAGCATATTATGAGGAAACAATTTATTGATTTCTTGTTAACAATTACAATTTCTCCTTTAAGTGAAATAATTTTTTTTGTGAAATGAATTTTTTTAATCACAGTTATGTCTTGATATTTATGATACCCTATATTGGATTGTACATATTATATTATTTAGGCCAAGTTACTTCGGGCCGGAAACGAACCTGTGACATGTGGATAGTCAATTACAAACTAACCAAAGGCTGTATAATATAAATTATTTTCAACTCATAATTATATTTTTATGCAAAAAACTATTATACTGATTTGATTTATACATAACATTGATTAATTCGGGGAACGTAGTGGAATCAGGAATCAGTAAATGTTGAAAAGTCCCTGGAGTGGGAGATGAAGAGTGGAGTGGGTTATGTTTGTGTAATAAGATCCAGTGGAGTTGGGGCTAGAGCCTTGTTAACCAAACTACTATGTTACGGTGTATTATGTATTCTTTTGTATGTATCTCCAGACTGCATTATTATTTTATGTAACAGTTTTTATAACTTTAAATTTTAATAATTTACGAAGATTTTATGTTTATTATTGACCATTAGATCATTGGTACAGTCGTTAAGTTGTGCCGCCATCGCGCAATCATTTTTGTTGTGGGAACTTGCTTCAATGCACCGGTCCAGGTTTTTATCCAGTTTTTTCAAAAGTTTTGTATCGCTTGCGAAAAACTTGCGTAGTAATATTATCAAGTTATCTGCAATTCAATGTCTTATTTAATAAATAATTTATTCTATAAGGACATATAATACACAACGTGTCCCAAAATCAACGTTAAATGGGCACCAGGGAGTGAACAAATTGATGACTACTTGGGAAAAATTAACTTAATTTTTTTAATACTTCAGATATTTTCGTTTTATTTGGAACTGGGATGAACAGCTATGCTACTTAGGTTGCTAATATACCTAAAATATTGCATAGCGTGTCACATTTTAAAGCATTTAAAAATTTATTATAACTTAAAAAATAGAATCAGATTTTTTTATCGGGTAGTCATCAATTTGTCCACTTACTGTTGCCCGCTTAACATTGAATTTTGGGACACCGATATACGTAAATAAAACAACGCTTAGTGGCGCATAATTGATTTGGTAAATTGTTGGCCTTGGACTCTGGACTTCGTATATGTGGTAGAGTTATGCTGCTGCTATATTATGATTGTATGATGATAATACCACTCTTGTTTTAAGGGATGACAACGAATCTGTATTTTGATTCTTATTCGAGGATAGACAAATATTTATGGGCTACAGCATTCACTTACCACCAGATGAATTATGTGCTCGTTTGTCAATCTTAAAAAAATATCGGAGTCATAGGCAAGGACCACGCTCTCTCAGAATACCAGCGTTAAAACTGCAGGACAATGCTGGAGATCCATTTTACTGGGTAACGAGGTATTCCTTCTTAGTCCTCAGGAGTGACAACGCATTTAGATTCTTAATCAAGGATATTACGTCTGTGGACTACAACATCCGCTTACAATCAGGTGCTCTATGCTCGTGTCACCTAAAAATGTACAACGAGTAGGTATCGCCATCGGCCTTTTATTATATACGGCGCTCTGGTATGGTAGACCACAACGACCTCCTATAGCTGCACACAAGCTGCCTAAGAAAAAGAATAGTAAAAGGTTTAGCCCGTAGAGATACAACAATAAAATTCGTGATTAAATTTTGAATTATCCAAATTCTACAATGCCTCTTAAACATTTATATGAACCAGCAAATTCCTATGCTATTATAGCCAGCAATATTAAAAAAAAACTTCAGCAATACCATGGACTGGCATGTGTGGTTGCCACAGGCTGCATAAGCACTAGAAGCAACTTTAGTTGACAGGACAGGTGACAAGACAGGTATAAACGATAGAATTTCACCAAAACTTCTATCCTACAAGCCGAATACGACAAGATCCCCAAACAATTTGTGTTTGATAAGAAATACAAGATATTTTCCTTCGATAAGTAAAGTTTCTTTTACCATATATAAGATAAAATTAAATTGATTGAAACTAACCAGCCCCGGAGGAATTAAACCCAATAAGACAGAATTTTTATGCATGGTACTAAAACAAATGAAGGTGCAGGACCTGGAACTTTTTCGTAAGATCTCAATATCCATATACGTAAACCGCTGGCTACCCACAACACAGTCCTTCAGTATGAATGTATGGGTATTATTAAGTGGCCATAGCAATAGATGCCGCGAAGGTATGGTTAAAGACTTCTCCATCAGAATACTGACCAACAGCATGGTGGTCCTATAAGCTCAGAGTTGCAGTGTGGGGAGCTCGGGACTAATATATGAATATCATCAGCGACTAAATGAGGTAGATATGTAAATACAACAATGTGACTACAAGGGATCAAGGGTCACAGTGGATCCAGGGGCAACGAAGCAGCAGATGAACTGGCCAGGGGAGGATAAGCTCTGGCCGCCATAGGGCTGGAACTGATCATACCGATTCCTTTTGTTAACGTTCGTTCACTGATACGTAAACACTTCACTAATCAACACGCTCAGCTTTGGAAAAATCTAGAAGATAATAGACAAGATATTTAGGCCCTGCTAGCAATAAACAGTCGTTTAACCAAGGTCTTCATGAGATTGAACAAGCCACAGATAAGAATAGCAGATGCTATTACAGAACACGATTCCTATACGAAATATTTATTTACCATAGGTGTTACAGACAGTCCCCTGTGCAGGGCATGTATGGAATGCATATCGGGCGTAGGAAACGTCAGCCCTCGTGTTGCTGGCACGTCCGGAGGTCACTGCATACAAGGTTAATCATCTCGGCACGCCAAGATAACTCCCGAAGTCGCTTGCAACTTCAAGGGACTGCTGAACTTCTTCGAGATTTTATGGCTCACAAAATCGTAATACCTAATATTCCTGTCCATACGCAAAATACTCACTTAGACATGGAGTTGCAGAAAATAGCCCGTCGTGAACTAAACTACATATTGCCAATACCTACAGAATCGAGGCGCCTTTTTTATTGCCGCAAGGTTTAAGCTGCGAAGAGGGCTATGCTCGGGATTGTATCGGGATTTCATTTTGCATAACTTAGAAATCAGTCAATTTTGGTGTGTAGCTGAATTTTTAGGAATGTGTAATAGATTCTTTTACTCATTATGCTTGCGTTTGCTTAATATATAAACGCTGCAAATAGTAGAAAGGTTTTCTACAGTGTTGATGCAGTTTGCTTGTTTATGGCTTTCATATAAATTTATGAAAATTACCTTTATAAATTTTCCCGTTACTTATTACACCATTTCGTTTTAAAACACACGCTATAAGGCACTCCCCATGTATAGGTGACTTCTTTTTTGGTGATAATTGTTTAATGGTTTTTTTCTCTTTGACATATACTTCTTTCAAGCACTCGGACATATTTCTCTTAAATTGTTCAGCATGAAGGGCAACGTCTTGCGGAAATGAGCTATAGGACCAATGTGGTGGGTCATGTTCTTCATTGTTTTTAATATTTTTTTCTACAAAATAAATATTGATTAATTACTGAGTCTATGTATATAGGAACTAATAATACGAGTAATAGGTTGTAATAAGAGTAATAGGTTGTTGCAATTTATGAGGCAAGCATATACTGCACTTAAGTTAATCTAGAATGATGAATGATGATGAGTAAAAATACAGGAGGAGATATAGTTACGCTTCTCGAGTGCGACCTATGCTTAGGCTTTTCCTCTAATACTTGCAATTGCTGATAAACTTATTATTACATAGGAGAGCAATATCGAAAAAATGAAAGCGCTTTTACGCGAAAAGAACATAATAAATACAAATGACAAAAAATATTCAAGCACTATCAAATTATAAACTAGGTAACAGAAATTAAGAGAATAAAAAAATACACAATTTACCAACCACCAATTGCTCGATTTTTTTTATTTAGTTTCATATTTCTCGTAATAATCGTGTCTTTATCTATTTTGATATCGTGGTTCGATTCTAATCCTAACGCGCGATCTTTTTTTTGTACATTTACCTTGTTGGACAATATTTCGCATACCAAATTTAATAATAGAGCTAAAAGCAATATTTCATGCCACATCGTCTAATACAACAGAAGGGGACGTGTTTCCAATAATCACCTCTACTGTATGAGAACGTGTAACAACGAAAAGGCCAATTTAAACCAATTAAAATGGTGTTACGAAACGTTCAAAATAGCTTGTTATTTTTTAGATAACGTCTGACATTCAATTAAACCAATTACAACCGTAGGTATTTAAAATGTTACGTAGGTAATAATTTTATATAATGTAGGTATAAATATTATATGTATACATAATTATTGACAAAAAATTTGTTAATTATGTCTTACGTTATAATTGTAGGAATATATATATATATATATATATATATATATATATATATATATATATATATATATATATATATATATATATATAAAATATAGGTATCTTTTATTTTATCAGAAATGAGCTCACTCTTAATTCCATCTGGCCCGAGGGCGAAGATGAGGTCTACGATGTAGCGAGTTTGCCGTCGTAGACCTCATCTTTGCCTTCGATTGCCAGGAGAAGCCTGTTCACACGCACCTTGATGAGATTCAGTTTATACGCACTCAAAAAATATCTTCGAAATCTTTGACGATCTTTTACAAAACGGGTTTTATTCATAGTCTGTCAAGCAAGAAGACTCAAGACTTTATTACATTTTCCGTCGCATATTTTTCACGGAACTTCTTTTTCGAAATAATCTTGTTTAAGTCGCAGACTAATTATAAACTACTCTTAGTAATAAGACGGTGAAAGTTCTTGTTCTTAATATACACTTGAATGCAATGCTGGATGTTGACTTTCCAAGAATGGACCGAACGTCATTTCCTTGAAAATTTTGCCTATGGCCATGTTAGTCAGACAGGTTGATGAGTATTGTACCCACATTCTTGTACTATGTCACAGCTGCTGTCATGATCATAGCCCACGGCTTTTGTAAGGAAAATGAACAAACCATAAATTGTAGTGCCTTGGGAATGTTTGCGAACGTGGATGAATGACTTCTAAGCCATCGTGCGCAAAAAAAGAGTAATTGTCACGAACCTCAAGCTCGTAACAGTATTATCAATAAAATGCATATCTCTCTATAAACTATTTAAAAGCGCAACATAATAAGCAGTGGACACCGCATCCAAAAAACTTAAACACTGAAGTATTAAATTTCTTTTATCGGATAGCGATCCGCCCCGGTGGCTGTGTGATTTCTAGATCTCGACAACAACACCATCTACCGGATCCATCTAACGGACAGCAATTGATTTTGATCACTGATTGCAAGTGAGCCGTGGTAGCTCAGATGGTTAGCGCTCGCTGTAAATTTCACAATACGCCAGCAAACCGGGTTCGATCCCCGCCGGCACCAATGAAATTGTTAATTCCAATTTTAAGAAAAAAAATATATTTCGAAGACATGTGAAGTTCGCCAACACGCATTGGGGCAGCGCGGCGGACAATTACTTGCCCTAAAACCCTCTCAGAAATGAGCGGAGGCCTGTGCCCAGCAGTGGGACGTGTATATAGGCTGTAACTTTACTTTACTTTTACATAAGAATCTAAGAAGGGTAGTCAATGATAAATAAAATTTGTTTTGTAAGTTGTTTTTTTTAAAAAAAAAACACTAACACAACAAAAACATGAAACTGAGAAGAAGCACCCGATCTGCCGAGACAAACTCAGAGAGGTCAGTCCAGGTATTACATTGGTCATGTCATACGAGAACCAGGCAGGTGGCTCATGGTCCTTTGAAGAAAGAACCATATAGATGTGAGTGGACAACTAAGTACTTTTTAGGATTCCGTACCCGAAGGGTAACCAGCAGGGCCCTATTACGAAGCCTTCGCTGTCCGTGTGTCTGTCTGTCAGCGGGCTGTATCTCATGATCCGTAATAGGTAGATGGTTCACCGCCGAGGTGAAGGAAAACATCGTAAGGAAACCTGCATCTCTGAGAAATAAAAAAAAATATTTCGAAGACACGTGAAGTTCCCCAACGCGCGTTGGGGCAGCGCGGCGGACTATTACTTGCCCTAAAACCCTCTCAGAAATGAGAGGAGGCAGGTGCCTAACAGTAGGATGGAGAATAGGCTGTAACTTTACTTTACTTTATTTATTGCAAATCCGATCTTCATCTCTACCAATTTACCTAAAATTATATAAATATTCATTTAATCTGAACATGGCTAGAGCTCTATAGATTGCCTTGTAAAGGGAATATTTACTAACATGTGGTAGGTAGTATGTACCCATGGGACGATATATGGTAAGTAATGAATACTCTTAGGTGGGTCTAGACGAGCTGAGCATGAGCCGAGCTTAAATTAGTGTAATGTAGACCGACTTACAAGCCTCGAACGTGCGCACTTCGAGCGTTTAGTTCGTGCTCGACTGTGCTCCGACTATTGTCGATTTTTTTAAGGCCACAAAGGGATTTGCATCGCATCCATCGATTTGCATGTTGTAGGCTCGTTGTACGTCCATAGCTGTCACCGCGAGTAGACCGGCTCAGCTTGTGCTCACCTTTACACCGCCACTACTCGGTGAACATACGGTGATGGTATGTTAAAGAATTAAAAACAAGATATGTATACTATTATTAACAACGACTACCGCAACCCGTCACTCTGACAGCATGCAAGATAAAGGGGCGCGGGCGTTGGAGTTTTCTCCAAGGTACTGATGATCGAAGCTCTTTTTTGCAAAAACTGCCGATTGAATTACCAAAATTTACACTTTAATTTTCTTTACACCAATTAAAATTTAAAACACTAATAATTATTCACACTGATTCACTTTATTTCGCTCCGAAGCTTCGCTTGTCTCGCCAAATTCAATACTGCCCCGATCGCGTATTGCAGAGCCTTTAAATACACCTTTTTCACCGAAACGTCCAGAATATTCAAGTAAATACGCGCGCCAACCGACCAGGCGCCGAAAGTTCGAGTGTAGGGCTTCTAGAAAGCTATCTTCCTCTGTTCGATACTAGATGGCGCTGTTGGTCGAAAGTCAAGATTGACATTTTCTAGGAAGCCCTCCTCGCTCTGGTCCCCGACACTAGATGGCGCTAGTGCCGGGTACATGACGTCAACTTAAGCCCGCAACAATACATTTATGTAACTGTAACTATATGCTTAGGAACCTAAGAAATAAAAATACTATGTAAAAATTACTTTCATTATTTATTTCCTCGCTGTAGATATATTTAATATTATTAAAACCTATACACAATGTTTGTGTTCAATATATAACATTATTATCGAATTTGCTTTAACTCACCTTTCTTTGAATGCCACTATACAATCGAAATTTTCGATAGAACTTCTAAAATACTTGACAAACAACAAAAACGTGGCTTGTTTGGAATAAAATTCCACACTCCTAAATATTGGATATATCGTGTTTCCATTAAACAGAACATAGGTAATAATTATTGCAATTTTCTAAAAGAAAAATACATTCAATCAGAAGCTTCTGGATCGCTTTTAACATCTATTCCGTTTATATCATTACATTCTTCTAAAAAAGCAAGGATATCCCGACACGCACACGTTGCGTCGATCACTCTCATGGCATTAAGTCTTTCAGTGACGTGCCGACCAAAAAACCAAAACTGCACATAATCGGTAGATGTTACTGACGAAATGGGTTTCATAGCCTGAACAAGGTCATCTATAAATCTAACACACTTGCTCTCTTTCTTAATTTTCTTTAATGGTGATTTAAATCGACGTCGTGGCCTGTCTGTCCGTTTGCCGCGTTGTCTAATACCGAGCTGTATATTTTCAAAATCGGATTGCAATTCTTCCTTTACAATATGATTGTTTTGTTCCTCATTTATTTTTGGCTGCAGTACTGGATATCGCTGAAAACAATAATTATCACTTTTATAAAGTATGAAGTATTTTTTTTAAGAATAAGGGTGAGAAGCACACAGTCCACCTGATGGTAAGTTGATGCTGTGGCCCATAGACATTTATATTTATCCTCGATCAGAAATCAAAATGCAGATGCATTGTCAGCCCTGAGGATTAAGATGGAATGCCTCGTTACCAGTAAAAATGGTTTCCGGTTCTATACACTCACCATAAGAAATATAGCACCATTAAGCAGATATTTTACGCTAATACTCTACAACTAATGTAGCAGCGTGACTACCAGGTAAAAAAACATATTGTGAATATGAGTGATTTTGGTTCACAAATATAGAATTTGTCAATCCTTTGACTACAGCGCGACCTATCGGACCGTAGCATAGCTGTGAACCATAGTCTTGATGAAGCCAATATATTGTATGAATATATTCCAATCAGTCAAGTATTTCATAAGTTACATGTCCACTAAGTACTAAGACACACTAATGATTTTATAATAAAGAAGATTAAACATCAGTTGATTGCCTTTCATAAGCTAATTCAAAGAGTAGGTGTACAAGGTACAAGGGTTGTGTTCTGGTTTGAATAGTAAAGAGAGTCCAGTCAAACTACTGGCTAAGAGTTTAGTACAACAGAATAATTTTACCCTTTTCAATTTAATTATCATCTTCATTACAGCCCTTCACATGTCCACTGCTGAACATAGGCCTCCCCCAAGGAATGCTACAAAGCAGCCACCTGTATCTAACGACTTACTACATGTCTTACTACAGTTCGCCTACCAGAACGAGCTTGCCACTCGAGAACCTTTTATCCCTCATTGGTTGTCAGTTCTTCGAGCTATATGGCCGGCCCATTTTTTAATTATTAATGTATTGATACAAGTATGAAATAAACACTACCTCATAATTACTTTGGTCCTCCTTTCGAGAGACTTCTCTTAAGAACTGCAAAGGTTTCCATAAGGGCCAGCAGGGAATGTACACTTCAGCAGGAGACCTTGCTATTTCTTTAGATTTATCCAGGCGACGTAGATTATGATTGAATGTACTACGAATATTTACCCAGCGATCTCTTACTGATCGTGCTGTAATAGTGAAACAAGTGGTAAAATTAAAAATTTTGTACAACCAACTTCAATATAAATAAAATGACAACATCATCAATGTAGTCGAAGCCATTTCAATACACATTATTAAGGTGAACTCATAAACTACTGATCAGATCTTGATCAAATTTATATGGGCCCATATGAGAAGCACCAGTTTTCAAAAAAAAAAAAAAAGAAATAATCAAAATCGGTACACCTAGAAAAAGGTTCTGAGGACACATAATACACATAAAAAATATACATAAAAAAGATACAGTCGAATTGAGAACTTCCTCCTTTTTTGAAGTCGGTGGAAAACATATTTGCTTACTAGGTAATATAAAAATTAATAGAACTTAATGAAGACGATGTTCTCCTGATCAATTTCTACCTCAAGGACCGATCGAATTACTACTACGTAAAGTTAGCATTTGGAGGACATATAATTACTTATGCTACATGTTATGACCTTGACGATCTAAACTGACCTTACAATTAAATTAAACTTATTTAGTAACTAAGTAATAGTATTTGCATGAATATAAGAAATCATATTTTTGTTTTGTCCATGTTCATCTTAAGACCTATCCATTGGGAGATACTATTGAGGTCATTGAGTAAGTGCTTAGGTCTTCAGCGTTTCTGGCAAATCAAAGGTGAGTGATGTACTCGCCATTGACTTTAATATCTTATCCTTTCTAGTCCAGTCGTTTGAAAACGTCTTCCAATGCAGTGGTGAAGTTTCGGTGATATTACCACGTCACCCAGTATTACACCTCTCTGCAGTTGGATAGGTTTCATTTTCTGATTCTGTACTTGGATAGCTATCGTAGCGCTACTGCACAAACGCTTCAGCACTTTGATATACCGACAGTCAACATGGCACCGCTAAAAGGACTGCAGCACCGCCCAAATTTCAACGAAATTAAAGGCTTTCTCATAGTCCACATATGCAAGACATAGTGGCAGATTGTACTCTTCGGACTACTGTATAATTTGTAGAAGCGTAAGTGGTCTATGGTGCTAAAACCTTTTCAGAAACCAGCTTGTTCGGGAGGCTGGAAGTCGTCGAGTCTGCGTGCGAGACGATTCCTAATGACTCTCGGAAACAGCACGTGGTCACGGCTCAGAAGGGAAATCTGTCTACTTCCTCAAGAGAGCATTGTCACCTTTCTTTAAGAACAAGACCACCGCACTTCTGCTTGACGCCTCCGGAGTAGTGCCACCATGGAGAGAATTGAAGAGATTCTAATCTCGCTCAGACACATCCGGGATATCAGAATAGTGTCGGATAAGACTTGCTCTTGGATCGTTATAGAACCTCACCCAAAATCTCAAGTGTCCTGGAAATGTTCACATTTGATCTTCAGCTCCAACAGTTGGCTCTTTCTGGCAGACAAATCTCTGGCAAAGACTTTGGGAGTCCTGGTTCCACTCGCTCGCAATACAAGCTGTATTGAAGAAGAGATCTGTTTGTTCAGTTGCCTGTATGCTGTCAAATCTACTGAAGCTTCATCTCCCGTCGAACAGCCATGAGATTAAAAGTGTGGTCTGAAAGTTTTTGTGTAATTCTGCAATGGGTCTTAAAAAGTTTAGCTCCAAACGCATGGACAGTTTTCACAAGCTTGTCATTCATATTGTCCGATCGTCATAATCGGCAAAGTGTAGGGCATCCCCTCACTAGATGGAGTGATGACCCGGTAAGACATGCAGGAAGTTGGATAGATTGATGGATGCAGGTGGCTCAGGACCGTGCTTTGTGGCATTCCATGGGGGAGGCCTATGTTCAGCAGTCGACTTGTGAAGGGCTTTAATGAAGAAATCATAACTGTTCATCACAACTTTTATGAGGATGTTAAAATCTGATCAGCAAATTATGATGTTGGATGGTCCCTTTTTTTAATCTGTAATGAAGACATTTGTAATAGTACTAGAGTAATTTAATGTGGCAATAAACTAAACATAGCTTGAAAATCTAACAATGAAGGATGGAATGGAAAAAAGAGAGAAAAAAGAGGTACTTAAGTGCAAATTGATTATGAACTCTAATGTTGCAATGATCTCTGTATTGTAGTTGGTTTAAAAGCACAAGTCAAAGGACCCGAGGAACAGGACATGGTGTAAAGGATTCTTTTATGCTGTTACTTAAATTTTAATTATTGAATATATTTTTATCATAACTTAATTTTTTAAATAGGTATTTTTGTATATAATGTGTATATTGTCATCCCCCTAACAATAGTATTTTAGAATATTAGGTATTTAAACTTTAAATAAGCAAGATACAGTCATTGCAGCTGTCACTTCCTTAGTGTTTACGACAATGACACGGAGACGTAACTGAGTAAAGGTAATGTAAAGGACACTTCCTAGCACTAGTTTGCCTTGTTGAACCGCGCCTTGCCTAACCTTGACAAGAGTGTAGAGTTAGCATAATAATGGGATAGAATAATTATTATTCAATAATAATTACAAGAATACTCATAGAATGTAATTTATAATAAGCAGCTTTTACCACTGGTTCGGAAAAACTTCTAAAATATCACAATAATTATCATTGTATTTCCCTTAGTTGCCATGCTTGGCAACCAGTTTATTTTTAGTTATTAATAGGAAAATGCTGCTGCGTTTAGCCTAGTTAGTTACCACTATGGGACAATATAAGGTAGTGGATATTCTTCCACGGCCACTTCATGGCATTCCCTCTATGAGACAATCTAAGGGGAAGGACTATGTTCAGCATTAGACTTTGATAGGCTGTAACGATAATTATTATAGTATTAATAATACAGTAAAGCCGTAGCACTTACCAGTAAAACCGCGACCCAACTTTGCAGCAAATTCTGCATAAGCCTTATATTTTTGCTGAATTTGATGATTAGTATTTCCGAATGGTTTCCAAATAAAGTCTCTCTGGTGCACAAATTCAACCAATTCCAATTCTAATTTTCGAGTCCAATAACATGGTTTACGCGGCATATTTTCTGTGCTACTATTTTAGGCTTTGCATTTTGTGTTCATAATAAATCTACAAGCAGACTAGGAATTAAATAAAAATGATATGTTTTTAATATTAATATGTTTTATAGCGAATTTCAGTAAGTGTTATTTATTAATCGATGTTGAATAAAAAAAAAGCGGTTTCTGTTAAAACACCACAGTACTTGTATTGTTTTATCTAACGTAAGGTAGTGCTTATTACCTTACGTCAAATAAAACAATGTATTTCAGTATTTTATATTTACTTATCACTAATTGTCCACCAAAATCCTCAATAAAAATTTCAAGCAAATTACAATTCTAAATTTCTAATCAGACTTTTCTCAAAAATGTACATGAAGCAAAACCAAATAAACAAACAGTTTGAAGGCAAAGAAATTTATCTGTATGCAGGCTAGTCTGACTGAGTCTGACCTGGTCTGACCACAGACTACTAAGAGGATACTACGCATCAGACAAGAATCTTAGAACAACCAATACGGAACCAGTAGTTTAGAGTTTGACATTTGTTTACTTCTAATTTTGAGATATCAGGCAAAAGTACGTCATTGATAAAGCCTATTTACGTTACTTTTAAATTTTGTAGTTAGAAGGCAAAAGTACACCATTGATAAATCCTAATTTCATTCACAATCGCTATTCACTATTAAAAGTTAACAATTTTAAAATCTTTAGAACTTATAATAATACATATGATACATATGAACTTATAATATATAAGAGTCTGACTGACGTATGTTTTTTTCTTTTGTTATGCTTCGTAAGGTTGTACATTTGCTATGTCAAGTAATTGGAAATTGTATTTTTTTATCATATAAAATATATATGTTTTATATCATATAAAATACTACTTTATAATATGTTGATTCATCAGGTTGTGGAGATTTGGAAGATTTCATTTACAGCTAAAGCAAGCTGACAGCACTTCAAATTTTGAGACCACAGAGTAAATAAAAAACCTTGAAGTTTGTATGAACATAAAAACACTTTTTTTCGTCGTTACGACTAATAGCTCATACGTACAAACACAACCATATTATACAGAAATGCTTCACTTTTCCGTAACAATATCCACTTTATACCATTACTTAAGGGTACACTAGTCACTCGTTCTTCCATACAAACGTAGTCTGGCGATTACTCCATTGTTGGTGTGTGGTGGACGAACAAAATAAAAAATGATTTCAATTTGTCTCATCATTATTTAGCCCTATATGGAAACATAAATGTAAAAAAAGATTACGTTTAAAAGTTATAAGCGTCGAAAATTCCGAATTTCAACACTATTTTTAACACATCTTTGGGCGGAAATAAATACCATAAGAAGAACGTAAATTGCAAAACAATTACAATACAGGGATAGATTAGTTGTTCAAAAATGCAAATCATTTTATTTTGAACAGATACATTCAATAGATTTTTCATGACATCCAGACTCCCAAAGGTCTGTTTATAAAATTGCGCGCGCTCCTTTTTGTTGTAAATCATCTTGCCTTTCGCTACAAATTGTTTCCCCGATCAGTGGGACGGACGGAGGGGGGGGGGGGGCGCAGCGCGCACCCACACATGCTCACTAGGTTAGCCGCTGCTATCTATTTATGGTTGTAATACCTACATATCTACATCTTTATTTAGAAAAATTGCTTCCTTTTGTTCGTGGCCACTTGCTGAAGCCGGGATGAATATAGCTGGTAAAATGTACTCATAAGTTTGTTGAAGCACATGTAGTTAAAATTGAAAACAGGTAGGTACATAATAATGAACTTATCTATAAATTTAATTAGAATACGTAATTATTAGATTTTCGATAATTGTGCTTACGTATAGGAATCTCATATCCTAATATACCTAATGTAATTTATGTAAGTACATAAAAATTAAGAGCCGTGGTAGCTCAGATGGTTAGCGCTCGCTTTAAATGTACGCGAGCAAACCGGGTTCGATCCCCACCGGCACCAATGAAATTGTTAATTGCAATTTTAAGTGCTGATTTACCACGTGCTCGGCGGTGAAGGAAAACATCGTGAGGAAACCTGCATGTCAGAGAAATAAGAAAAAAAAATATATTTCGAAGACATGTGAAGTTCGCCAACACGCATTGGGGCAGCGCGGCGGACAATTACTTGCCCTAAAACCCTCTCAAAAATGAGCGGAGGCCTGTGCCCAGCAGTGGGACGTGTAACTTTACTTTACTTTACTTTTACATAAGAATCTAAGAAGGGCAGTCAATGATAAATAAAATTTGTTTTGTAAGTTGTTTTTTTTAAAAAAGAAACACTTTAACACAACAAAAACGATTTGCCGAAACAAACTTAGAGAGGTCAGTCCAGGTATTACATTGGTCATGTCATACGAGAACCAGGCAGGTGGCTAATGGTCCTTTGAAGAAAGAACCATACAGATGTGAGTGGACAACTAAGTACTTTTTAGGATTCCGTATCCGAAGGGTAACCAGCAGGGCCCTATTACGAAGCCTCCGCTGTCCGTTTGTCTGTCTGTCAGCGGGCTGTATCTCATAATCCGTAATAGGTAGATGGTTGTAATTTTCACAGAACGTGTATATCTGTTGCCGCTATAACAGCAAATAGTAAAAATAAATTTGAAATTAAAGGGTTTCCTACTAGAAAAGGAAACGTGTATTTTTGCCTTTTTTGATCGATAGTAATATGTAGTATATTTGAATCTTGTAAGATGTTACGGAATCTCGGAAGTCGGATTCGCACTTGGCAAATATTTGTTTATATTTAACCTTACCTTAGACATACTTATATTTTTTATATATAATTTACTATACTACTATATAATCTACTACTAAATAAAATAGTAGTAGTTTTGCTATGGTATTACAGTATATATTTTGGTTTAGATTTAATTTACCTATTACACAATAATACGAATTATATAAAAATTAAGGAGCGCATCAACCTACCTCAGATATTGGGTTATAAATACAGATAAGTACACATAGGATTTAGTTTCTAATTTATACATATTTTATAGCCTTCGTTATCAATAGCATAAACAGGCCAAGCCCCCTAGCCTACAAACGTTTCGTAACGAATCTCTTTTTAGAATCGCGCCTTTTATTTGTTTGGACTGACCACCTGACTAGTTCAGTGATGTCATTCCCATACAGTGTTTAGTTTTCAACTAACGTTATCTACTATTATAAAATAAATCAAAATGTATTTATATTTCGCTAATTGTGTCTGTACTGTGAATTTGATTTACAATCGGTCTCTAAATTGTAGTTTTCTTCTAATTACTTACCTTGTCTAGACGTGTTCTTTGGACTTCTGTAAGGAAGTCTGTGCTGTTAGTCCTATTCCGTTTAGGTACGTTACTATTCTGATAGACGTTTGTGCTTGTCCCTGCAGTGACACAATTCATATTGTTGATAACTTTCTAAGTACTAAGAGAATATCGCAAGCCGCTATTGAACACAAACAATCAATAAACAATTTACAAACTAACATTTTTATTTATTTAATTAACCTACATAAAAGCCCCACTCACATCCATTGCGCTGTCGTAAAAGCAGTTATCCTGACACACTAGCTAACTAGCTATGGTAAGTAAATACCTATTTAGAATACATAGTACCTACAGTAATGTTTGCATAACCTACAATAAAATACAAAAACATAATTATTTTACACTATTTTCTGTTTTAGAAGTCGGTTATATTTTTTTCAATTTTTTTTAATGTTACTATTTTTAGTTGAGAGTTATGTCCCTTTAGTGGGTACAGGCGTGATATTATACTGTGTGATAAAGAATGCATAGATACGCGATAGCAGCAATCGTGGTTGATTTGCTGTCATTTATTGAAGAGTTCCCTGATCCCATCATCATATCTTGATCTGACCATCATTGATTACCATGGGATCATCTGTAAAGTATATTCTTTCAAACCAAAAAATAGGGGAACAGAACATACATAACCAAAAAAGCAACGTATTGAGAACCGCCTCCTTTTTTCGAAGTCGGTTAAAAAGTAGGTGAAAACAAATCAATGAAATTATTATATAATAACAACATTTACTTAAATTCACATAAGAACTTTCATAATAACAACTAAATTGGGTTCATAATAATAACACCAATTTGTTTCCTCTCTCTTTTCTCTTTTTAAAATATGTAACCCCCACAGTAGGATTTTCTTCTGTATCGTGGAGGCAGTTTACAAACATAAATTGCACAAGGACAAACATGCAGATCCGGAACAACTATTTGTAGGCCATACAAATATTTGTTCCGTGCGGGATTCGAACCCGCGGCCCCCAGCGCAGCTACTCATTGCTAAGTCACTGCGCCAAGAAGCTCACAATTGCCGTTTGAGTTTATGTTATTATTCAAAAATGAATCGCATAGGTAGGTACGCGATGATGCCGTCGCGCATTGCGTCACTCGAGTGCGTATGTGTGTGCGCACTAGCTTCTTACTGCTCATCACAGCGTCTATCCCTTTCGCACGTGATGTCGGCTGAGATAGCATGCATTTTAACCCCGCCCACCATTTAGTTCGAGCTATCAACTAGGGCCACCTTAAACGATAAAATAGGAGTAAAAAGCCGCCTGCATTAAAATTAACTCCGACGTGTATTTTGTTCACAATATTGTTCACATTATGCCGATGCCTGACATTGCAAAGTTTTTGTGAAATATGATTTTTTTAACGCATACTCGCCTTGTGAGTGCAAGGACGGGTTATGGTATGTCGGTCTCGCACCAACAAAACTTTACGGTGTTCCACCTTCGCCTCATTGGCAAGGCCAAAGCAACGCTTTTGCATACTTACATCTACCCTGCGGTCTCTAGCTCCACTTGCGCTACGTACCCCCCGTGTCAAATACGCTGAGTTCATGGGGCCAGGAAAAAACGAACATTCGGAAGCATCAGCTTTCATGGACTCAGCAACGGATCTGGTCTGTGGCTCTCTGCAAACCAAGCTCTTGTCTCCACAGTCGTAGGGAGAGC